TGGCCAAAGTTCGTGGGATGAGCCCGAAATCTGTTCAACGGATTCTCCACAGATTAGGTTATCGTTGCAGAGCAGCTAGGCGGAAGCCCTTATTAAGACCTGCCAACATAGTCAGACGAAAGAAGTGGGCAAATGATATGATGACCAAGCCTCTGAACTTTTGGAAGACCGTATTGTTCTCAGACGAATCAATATTTGCTCAATTTTCGGAGAGTGGAAGGATATGGGTCTTGAGAATGCCTCACCAAGAGTTTTGGCTCACCAGATTGCAGCCAACTGTGAAGCATGGTGGTTTGGTTTCAGCATGATGGTTTGGGAAGCTGTTTGGGTTGGTGGGAGATCGAGCTTAGTGGAGTACGTTGGCAACATAGATTTTGCGAAATACATCGAAATATTGGAGGAAGGACTCTTGCCACTTTATTCCTCGGGTTTCGTGGACAAGAACACAACGTTGTTCCAGGAAGATGGAGCATCGTGTCACACTGCTAGAAACACCCAAAAGTGGCAGGAAGAAAATAGTATCCAGAAGTTGCCCTGGCCGAGCCAATCTCCTGACATGAATCCCATCGAAAACCTCTGGGCCATACTCGACCGGCAAGTCAAGAAACAACAAAAAAAATAACAACTTCGAAGAGCGATCTACTCCAAGTTTGAAGCAAGAGTGGGCGAAAACCCCACAATCTAAAATTGACGAGATGATTCTCATGATGCCCCAAAGGATCAACGAACTCCACTAAGCGAAAGGAAAATCTACAAGATATTAATTAAATTATAAATATATCAAATCATTGAATATGACTGAAAATTTTCATTTTTTCCTCAAAAGGTGGCGTCTATTTACTTGTGACCACGCTGTGTACTGTATATCTTCCTCAATTTGATGTATCCTGTGTTTTCGTCATTATTTTTAATTTAAATTTTCTTCTAATTCATACTTTAAATTTTTGATTTGTAGTTTTTACAAGATATTTTGTATATTTTAATATTGTAATGTAATATGTTACTGGCCAGTATAATTACTATATTTCGTTATCCTATAATTTGGTATTGTAACTTTGGTTTTATATTATATCAATCCTGATTTTATTTTTATATTGCAAGTTTGAATTTTTAGTCTTGTCTATTTCACTTCAACTGTTTATTGGACCCTTGCTTTAGTGTGCCCCTTTGCTGTCTTAATGTAGATGTCATGTGTCTTCCACCTCACTTGAGGATGATGATTACTGTACATTATGACTTGGTAGTTAACCTTTTAATTTGGCTTTAAATTGCTTAATTCTAAAGTTTATATCTCGGAAAACCTTGAGATAAGGAAGGGGTGCTAATTTCACGCTTCCATAACTAGTATAGGATATACCTTTATTAAGACATACTCAGATTATATTCCTAAATTTCTATACAGTGTTCTGCATGTAGTTATGACCCTTGTAAATTAGTTGTACAAAGCGTATAAACATGCAGTAACCCATTTGCTTACCTAAAGGTTGCATAAGACAATGGCAAACACATAGAAGCTTGTACCACATTGACTCTGTGGCTGTGTCTACACTCAGGGGTGGGGTAAGTCCATTTCATGTTAATACAAGTTAATATGAGTTAGGAATTCTCTCTTTTGTATATGGTATTTGGAAAAGTGGATGACTTCAGTATTTGTATCAGACGAGTACATTACTGTGAATAAAGATTTTGCTTTATTTGTTCACTTGTGCTATCTGTTTTCTTTTGCTCTCTGTATTCGTTATAACATGGCATAACATTTCCAGAAAATGCCTTTTGCAGATAAATTAACTTGCCTGTCGCATATTAATGATACTTGAATACCACGTTAGAAACTTAATTAATGGATTAAATAAGTTAGAATGCAAATAAACAATTGGTAACAAAAAATAACATGCGATTTTGTAATATCACAGTATTCTAAGTCAAAATATTAATGCGTATATAATGTATAATAACAATTAAATGAGGTTCTAGGTTTTAAGCAGAGTTGTAAACATAATCAACACGCCTAAAAATTAACAGAAAAAGGATGAGACAAGTTTAAATTGAACAAAAGTACTTTATTTATACAAATAAACAATTATAATAAACTGAAAAAACAAAACAGTAGGCAATGGTCACTAGCTGGACAAAAATGATCCATTACAAGACCAGCCATTCTGTTACTGCTCGACCAAGAGTAAAATAAAGACAAGAGAAGTTGAAACTGGACTTACTATGGTTAGCACTCAAGCCAAAATTACCTAAGTTATAATTTTTAACAGAAAGCTCTCATTCAGTCCAAAAATTTCTTTAATTAATAAAAAAAAGGCAAACAGAGATTTGCAGCATTTCTATCTACCAAATGGGTTAACTACTTACCAATTCCAGCTCAGAAGATTAAAAATCCAACACTGTCATATAACTTGTGAATCTATACCTGAGAAATAAGTAAATTATATTCAGAAAGTTCCCAAATTTGTACCTGCTATTCTCAAAATACATATGTCTATAATAATAAAAGGGCATGTCTTTGTCTGTGTGACCGCTTCAAGAGGAAAGAACCTAGAAACCTAAAATGTGCACACCTACTGAGTGGTCACTGAGGGTGTGCACCTGGGAATTACTTATCTTATTCACATGCGTGCGTGCATGTACGTGCATATCATTTTAATAAGACAAGCTATCGAAAAACTACATAGAAAAAGTGGTTCCTTATATTACTAATAAAAAATCACAGACAGACATACACGTGTGTGTGACCACCATAGCTCCAAGAGGAACGAACCTAGAAACCTAAAATGTTGCACCTATACTAAGTGAAACCTGAGGGTGTGCACCTTGGTATTATTTATCTTATCTACGTGTGTGCACATGTTTTTAATGAGGCAAGCTAGCGAAAAATCACATAGAAAATAAATTGTTCCTTATATAACAACATCTAATATATAGAAACAAGGACCTTTATGAATACCCCATTATGAATACCAAATTGTTGTTAGTGTGTATTGAAAGTATGAAATGAAATGTATAAACTACAAAACGGGAAAAGTATTTGTTGATTTATTAATTTAGAGTCTCAGTTGATTAAAGAGGTTTTTTTTATTTAAAATGTTGGTCATATAACAGAAAATACCTTAATTCAGAAACGATTCAGGTTTAAAATCAATCGTGACATGACGTGACACACATTGGCTTTTATATAGGCTAGATATCATGAAATATAATGGCATCTATAACACAGTCATCTGGAAAATATCAGCCTAATAACTCGAGTGAAGACGGGTACTTTTGCTAGTATATATGTGTGTGTGTGTGTGTGTGTATTATTTTAGAAACTTTAGCTTGGAACTGTCAGAGTGCTAAGGCGAAATTGGTCTATTATCAAAATCAAAAATGTGTAAAGGAATTGGAAGTAGGATTTTCAACATAAAAAGCACCTTATGTGGACTTGGACTAAATGGTCAGGTCAGAGACCCATAGCCTCATACAGGTATAGCCGCCCTTAATTATGAGCAACTGTCCAGGTGGAAAGGGAGCTAATGAACATCACCTGCCACTACAAAGACTATTTCTGGCTTTTGAATTGAATAATTTGATTAAATGTTACTTTTACACCATCCCCATATCTGAAATTGTAGAGCATGTCCAGCGGTATTACTGCATGAAACTTAGACAAAAGTTTATTTGAAATGCTATTCGTACACAATGAAAGGCACTTACTGTTAATTTATTAAACATCTAATCTGGCTTTCTGTAATTCTTTTATTTCTATTTGGTGCAACACCTAATCTGGCAAAACAAGGATGTTCATTAGTCCATTTGTTATGTCTTATGAAAAGTGCTGTGCCTGGCCATGCAAAACTAGAGTAATTTATAGTGTGCATTACGACGCTAGTGATCAAAGAACTATAGTTAGGAAAATACGAGGAAAACTGAACTGAAATCAAAAGTGTTGATAAAAAATTATCGATGTGTTACGTATCTGCTTGTTTGTTAATTTCCGGTATAAATTCTTTCCGATGAGATTCAGTGATACAAGTCCCTTCTTGATTAAAACTAGTTCATTCTTTCTCGATACAACCTTTTTAATACACAGAATTTCCACAGTCAGGACGTTTCTA